AAACAGGGATTCTGGAGGGGATTTCCGATGTTTTTGAATTTCACAGGGCCCAAGCACACTCAAGCATTACTTTAGGTACCCTACACCTACAACCTACAGCCTACAGGGGCTCCTTCCTCCCCTGATTCTTCATTTCCTTCTTTCTTTCTAGAAGGATATCCTGTCATAGGGTACTCGTAGGATAGGATAGGATGGGATGGGATGGGATAGGATGAAATCATAAATTCCTTTTTCTATCGTACTCTCTACACTCTACACTCGACAAAATTCAAACCTCTCTCGATAGATGCACAAATACCTCACATCCTTCCCTTCATCCCGTCGGCTTATTTCTTAATTCACTTGGGCTTTGAATTCTTTTTTTTTTCAAGAACATAAAAGACATTTCAAAGGCACCATCCGGGGAAATCTAATTCTGCTTCTCCCTGTGCAAAAATAATAGCCTATCCCTCCGAACTCACCCGTTCCTTACCTACCTTAATAAACTAAAGAGACCGCCGTTGACAACCTCACGCGATCATCTTTTTCTCTCCTTCCAATAATTTGCCATTTAAACCTTTATTCGACTTCGTCTTTCTCTTCTTCTTTGAAATTTTGATCTTCAAATCCGCAGATTCTTTACAGCAACCATGACGCGATTCAAGACAAAGTCTAATGGCCTCGGTGTACAGGTTGAGGATACACAAATCTGCGTGGTAATGGTCGGCCTTCCTGCAAGAGGAAAATCTCTCATTGCTCAAAAGGTATGTACAAATTTCAATCGATGTAGGAATGCACAAATGCTAACATCGCATACTTTACAGCTCAACGTTATCTCAAGTGGTTATCCATCGATGCTCAAGTTTTCAACGTCGGCAACTATCGTCGAAATGCCACCCCAAATCCGACTGCCGATTTTTTCGATACAACCAATACAGAGGGGGAACGGATGCGTAGAGCTGCCGCTGAAGCTGCCGTCAATGATATGATCGATTGGTTCAAGAATAAACAAGGAATTGTTGCCATTCTCGATGCTACGAATAGTACAAAAGAGCGCCGAAGATGGATCAAAGACCGTTGCGATGCTGAAGGAATCGAGACCCTTTTTGTCGAATCGAAATGCGACGATGAAGATTTGATCATGTCAAACATTCTAGAAGTCAAGACGACATCCCCAGACTACGCTGGCTCAGACCCGGAAAAGGCAGCTCAAGACTTTAGGAATAGGATCAAGAACTACGAAAAGGTTTACGAGACAATTGACGACGAAGAGAGTGATCTTACTTATCTGAAGATTATGAATGTTGGAAAACAAGTCATCATCAATCGAATTCAAGACTATCTTCAAAGTCGCGTGGTTTATTACTTGATGAATTTACACATTAAGCCGAGATCTATTTGGCTGTCACGAGTAAGAAACCATTGGTCCCTATGAAATCTCATTTTGCTAATAATAAATAGCATGGGGAGTCTATGTACAACCTCGAAGGAAAGATTGGTGGTGATGCCGAGTTATCCCCTCGTGGAGAGATGTACGCCAAGAAATTGCCATCATTGGTCCTCGAATCAGTAGGAGTATGTACTTTCCCATGGACTTCCAGTCGATTCCCATGGCTAATTTAAAATAGGACAATCGCCCGTTAACTGTTTGGACTTCAACTCTTCGTCGCACTATCGCCACTGCTCGTCACCTACCTAATGAGTATAATCAGCTTCAATGGAAAGCACTCGACGAGCTCAACTCTGGTGTTTGTGATGGACTTACTTATCAAGATATCAAAGAGCGATATCCAGATGATTTCGAGGCCCGTGACGAGGATAAATACAACTACAGATATCGTGGAGGAGAGTCTTACCGCGATGTTGTTATTCGTCTCGAACCCATTATCATGGAATTGGAGCGATCAGAGGATATTTTGATTGTTACTCATCAGGCTGTTCTTCGGTAGGCTTCATTCTTCCGATTGCTTATAATCTACTAACGATGTGTAGTTGTATCTACGCCTATTTCATGAAGAAACCTCAAGATGAATCACCATGGATGGCTGTACCTCTTCACACTCTCATTAAGCTCACCCCGCGTGCGTATGGTACACAAGAAGTACGTTACGATGCACAGATCCCTGCTGTCAGTACTTGGCGTGGTAAGGGTAGTGTTGCAAAGCATGAAGACCCTATTCCTGCTTCGGATATTGCAACTAAAGTTGGTATGTATTTTTAATGCCTATTTCAAGAATTTCGCTCATACCTTCAATAGTGGCGGATAGTAAATGAGTTTCCACCGACACGCTCTCGTTTGCTTTCAGTTATACAACCAATCTTTTGAGCGGACTAGCAAGTCTCATCTACACTATGATTTTTGCCTAGGTTTTGATGCATAGCGATTTGGCGTTACATGATTCGATTTCCTCTGGACCTTTTGTTATAAACGAAATGTCGACGCATTGTTTCGTCTTTCCTTTCCTTTCTTTGGTTTTTGTTTCACGTCATATGGTAGATATGGACCCAGATGAATGGGGTAGATGGGAGGATCAATACGATAACAAGTGGTGATGAGGTACAAATGGGATGAGGAAGTTGCTTTGGCTTTTGGGAAAACGAGATACCAAAGAGCGAATTTAGGTTGAGCGTAGAGGAAGAAAGATGAAGGAAGAATCATCACAGCTGTCTACAAATGAGATGAACAAGGCTTGTGATTTGAAAGTCATGAAGATGAAGCTTGATAGCAAAATACATTACAGGGTGAAGGAAGTCATACTTGATTTCTCCCTAATCCACTATTCCAATAGGGACTGAAAATTCAAGATCAAAGGATAGAATAGAATCATGTGATGTGAAGATAAATCTCAATGTGAACTGAGATTTAAAACAACCTCGGGCACTCATCGGTAGATGCACGGGTAAGGTAAAGTGATGGTTAACCGCCGGTGACCCTGGTTTACTACAGGGCTGGCTGGTTGTTTGTATCGGGATATTTTATCGGGATATTTTATACGAGGAGTAAGGTTACGGTACCCGTGAAATGCTGATTGTGAAACATTTCTTTATAGAGTGGCTTGAGAGTGGGAAGGAGAGTGGGAAGGAGAGTGGGAAGGAGAGTGGGAAGGAGAGTGGGAAGGAGAGTGGGAAGGAGAGTAGGGTCGAGGTAGGGTCGAGGTAGGGTAGGTTAGGTTAGATTACTAGGGTAGGTACGCGCGACCGTGGATTATCCGTTGAGGAGTTGGGTTCACTGGTTCACCGGTTGGAGTGTGGGTTTGGGGTGTGGGTTTGTGGATTTGTGGATGTAGATATAGATTTGTGGGTGTAGATGTAGATGTTATGTGTATACGATTTTAGTGATGATGAGCAGTGTGTATTGATTGATTTGTAGGGTTTTAAATGTAGATTTGTGAATTTACTGTTTAGGGTGGAATGGGGAGGGGAAGGGGAAGGGAAGGGGAAGGTGAGATTGATTGTTTGTAGAGATAAGAGAAGAGGATGAGGTGCATAGGTATGAGTGGGAGAATGGATAGGAATAAAAGTTAGTATACTCCGTACGTACGGAGTACCTAGGCTCGAGCTGGGTAGGTAGGTATATTGGTAGACATAGACAACTGTTGGTTGATTTGATCACTTCATTAGATAGTAGGTGAGAATACACACACAATAAGTCTCGGTCATCAAGGTTCGTTAGATGCTCCGTACTAGGGGATGTACTAGGTATGTATGGGATAAGCGCGGGGATGTGAATGGAATGGAATTGGATACTCTGTACGATACTCCGTACGAAGTATTGTGTTGTGTTGTGTTGTATTATTTATGTGGTTGTGAGTGAGTGAGTGAGTGAGTGAGTGGTTTAATGCACGAAGTAAGATTACCTGGTATCTAGTACTCTGCAGTAAGGTACTCTGCAGTGCGCTTAGTCTAACTAATTAACCAGGTACTTACCTATCTAGGTAGTTTGGTTTGGTTTTATTTACAGCTGGAGTAGATACTATGTACCTAGGTAGGTATATTGATAGGTCTTTATGGGTACTGTAGTTAGTTGATTGATTGATCGATCGTAAGGTCAATCTGATTGTTTGTAGACTGGGGTGAGGTTTGAGGTTACGCTTTATGTACGAGATGAGGTAGAGGACTACGTATCTGGGTTGTATAATTATAATTATAAATACATAGGTTCATGTGCAGCGCGCAGCGCTTATGTCGGTGCGTGCAGCGTGAATGCATATTTTTGGCGATTTTTCTTTTGTATGGTATGGTAAGGTATTGTATGGATGGTATTGTGCTTTTGTTTTGGTTGTGTGGATAGAGGGGAAGGGAAGAGGAACCGGTTTCAGAATTAGCCGCTTGGACGCGGGAGGTGCTGGGTTGGGAGTTTTTATGGGGGTGTTGATGGGGATGTTGGTGTTTCGGAGGGTTTGGAGGGGAGGGGGAGGGTGGTATTGTGTATGCTATGGATATGAGATTGTTGGAGATTGCAGATTGGGGGCTGGGAACTGGGGACTAGGTGTGATGAATGGTTGGTTGGTTGGTTGGTGAGGGAGGTATGTGATTGATTGATTGATTGATCGACAGCTGGGGGGAGGGGGAGGGGGGAAATGCTAGTATGGTAGTATGGTAGTATTGCAGTATGACGAGAGAGAGGTAGGTTTGATTAGAGTAGCGCGGAGAGAATAGAAAGAAAGTATATATACACGAGATGTTGGCAGGAATACTAAAGCTATGATATCGACTACCTAGGTCTGTGTACTTAAAGCCTCCGGTTTCATTGTGTTTCTTTCAAGTGGATATCAGTATCCAAACTCTATATTCTCGTTTCGAGCGCGTTACATTTTTGGAGAACTTTGTTATCTTATTTATTTTCCTTGATTTTGTTTGTTTGTTTGTTTTGTTCTTTTTGGGTTTATATATATCGGATTGTTTGTTGGAAAAGGATTCGGGAATCTTTTTATTTCGTCATTCGTCTTATCTTTTTGGTTCTGCTATTTCCATCTGATATTAGGTAGAGGAGTTCGGACGAAGTAACAAAAGATAAAGTCATGTATTCGTACTCGTCATGGTCTAGTTTGACGCTGCTGGCCAGCTTATTGGGGAAGATGGATGCGTATCCTACACAATCATTTCTTGGGATAAGTTCGTCGGAGCGTAAGTTATATATTTCTATACTTATACTTATACCCTAACTTTTCATCCCAACTCCCTCTTCTCCTGTCTCGAAAAGATATTAACATTTTTAACATTTTTCCCAGCTCACTCACTCTCCACCCACCAACAACAATCGTCACCACAACTATCACCCCAAAGCCCCCGCACCCTCTACACAACCCCATCTTTCTCCTCTCCAGATCTCCACTCCTCCCACTCCGGAACTATAAATGTCCGTCCACCCATCTCCCACTTTTCCACCTCATCACCCATCTCTATCCCCTTCACCCTCACATCCACCTGTCCCAGCCTGCACCTCGACTGGACCTGTCTCACCACCGACCTCCTCTCCAGTCTCCTCCTCCTCTACCCCTCCGGCCCAACTTCTAGTCCCTATTACACATTTTCACACGGCACTCCCGCTCAAGACTCTTCCTCTTCCTCATCCTCCCCATCACAAGACACCTACACCATCTCCTCCACCATTCTCCTCCCCACCAAAACCAAAGGAACAGAATTCAAATCATCCCTCTACATCTCCATTTCCCCCGCTTCGCACGCAGGCGTCGCCGGGATATCAAAAAGGGAATGGAGAAGTTTTATCGGCTTATTGCATGGGATTAACAATGGATTGGAGAGAGAAATGAAGGGAATGGGATGGGGAAGATTAGCAATGGAGGGGAAGTTTCCTTCTTTGAAAACTCCTTACTACTCTGAGAGGAAGAAAGGTGGTAACCGAGGAGCGAGAAAAGAAAAGTTGGGACCTTCGGATATAATTTTTCCTTCTTCTTCTTCGTCGTCTTCGCTTTCCGAGAAAAAACCAGCGTATCCGCGTGAAGTGATCAAATCCTGGGAAGAAGAGGAACAAGAATTCAAAACGCAGACGGAGCGAAAAGAGGAAGGAGAAATCTCCTTCTCGTATAAAATCACATGGGTATACTACGGTATGACAAGAGATGCAAACGGGAAGGAGATGTTGCGAGAATGTGCGCAGATGCCTGAGGGAGTAGAGATGGATTTTGAGAGTGAGGAGTCTGGGAAGAAGATGAGTGCTGCTGAGGGAAAAGGAGAAGAAGAAGAAGAAGAAGAAGAAGGGAAAGAGGTGAAGAGTGGAGTAAGTGAAGCAGAGGAAGAGGAAGAGCAGATGTGGAAAATCGATTTATAGAATACTATTATGGTATTACTTTGGATGGGATGGGATGGGATAGGATAGATAAGATATCTGGGGAAGAAGGAGTATGGTGTACTTGTTATTGGGTTTGTTATGTACCTAAGTAAGGATTGATATGTATTATGTATGTAATGAATAAAAGAATATATCACAAGCTGTATCGATTATGATGTGTATAAAACAAATGAATTGGAACATGGCGTATATGGGACGAGGGAATCTAGTATTCGTAGATAGGTGTCTATCAGTTTTTCGTCATAGAAGTGATATGTATCGTTTGTGCTAAATTCATGGGGTTTCGGCTATAGTTGGAGTGTTCAATTCTGTGTGTGTCCTGTCTTGTGGGTGACAATGGCTCCATGTTTAAAAACTAAAGAATGGACCTTTAAAATCGGGAAACACTAACGAGATATCGTCTTAATGTCTAGGTAGATAATTTTCTTAGAAGAAATATGATATGGAAAATGACAGTCCAATTGCAGAGATAGGCAGATACAATATGATTAGTAAATGTGTATAGTATATGCATTCTTCGCTCCCCTCTCATAACCCCCCCCCTTGACTGGTTCCCTAAACTCTCACTCACCCCTTCCCAACATCAATTCCTCATACCTCCTCTTCACTTCCGGCATAGCTCTCAGATGCGCCTCCAGCTCCTCTTTTTCATCTTCCAATTTCAATCTCTTTTCCGCATCCAATTTGGTAAAAATATATTTCCCCTGTCCGTCAAATTGTAATATCTTACTATGATATTTCCACAAACTTCTACGATGACTTACTGTCATCAACGTGATGTCTAACGCTTTCGCATGTTCATACATGATTTTTTCCATCTCTAGAGTAACACTACTGGTGCATTCATCCAGGATAGCATATTTGGGGCGATTGTAGAAGAGACGAGCCATAGCTACGCGTTGTTGAAGGCCACCTGAGAGGACATCGCGCCATTCGGCTTCGGCGTCCCAACCATTGGGGAAAGCTGTCACGAGATGATCGAGATCGAGAATGGAGAGGATGGAGAGGAGGTCAGAATCAGTTATACCTTTGCTACGCATAGTGCGGAGAGAATCGGGATAGATGATTTGTTGACGGAGGGATCCAGCGCTAAGGTATGGTCGTTGAGGAACGTAGAAAACTTGGGAAAGAGGTGGTTTGCGAACGGTACCGCCATAAACCGGCCATAAACCTCCGAGAATCCTGAATAAGGATGATTTACCACATCCATTTGGTCCAACTACTAAAACGTGATCACCACGTTTCATGGAGAATGATAATTTCCGTACGAGAATACTTCCACCGGGAGTGATGATTGGCCTAAGAATCGTCAGCAATTGTAAATGTCAGGTTTAGATAGAACATACACATCAACGAATTCAATATCTTCACTCTCAATGACAGTACCTCTACCTCTCATCAACTCTAGCTGTTCTCCAGAATCATCGTCAGATACTAGAGTTTTGTCAAATCGTCCAGCTTTGATATCATCCATGACCTCCATGAGAGTTGCAACTCGTGAAGTATAACCAGCCAATTCAGTAACCTCTTTGTAAGAGAACATTACTCGACCGAAGGCATCAGAACTAGATAGCAGTAACCTTCGATTGGTTACGAAACTTTCCGTTCGGTCACCCATAGTTGCTGCAGTTGCACCTGGTATCTTGAAGAATACCGGAACACTACAAAGAATAAGCCCCAAAGCACCCCATACGTATTTGATGACGAAATCCTAGAATAATTAGCGTTAGCTTCCAAAAACAGAGTTCGCTACCCATACCTCCATTATTCCATGTGTGAATCTTCGTCTCAATATGTCTATCGCGATGTTAGTCAATGGTCAGAAAAAGCATATGAGAATACTCACAGTTGACATGTTTGATAAGTGTAAAATAACCTTTATCCAAAGTGTCTTTTTCCGCTTCATGTCCATTATACAATGCAATCTCTTCACTATAATCTATCAATCTTGAATGCTGAAATCGGAATTCTCCTTCTAGTCTTGCTTCATCTGCCACAAATTTACCAAAAGGTGGAGTCAATGCTCGCATGACATTTGCTGAAAGTTGTACCAGTAACGACATGAAAAGAAGCCCTTCGCCACCAACACTTTTAGAAAGAGAATAGTTGTATATTGCCATATCTAATGCTGGTTTTGCAAGATTTCCATATAACTCCGCCAAACTATTCGCAAATTTTGATACATCCACAGTTATTAATTGATCTGCATTCTTTATTCGATCGTCGAGAGCGGAAAGTGAGTAGAATGTCATATTGGATAGATATCTATCGTGAATGTAATCTGTCAACCGTGTTCGATACTGAAGAGCAAGCTTGCATTGATGATATGAGAGCTGTAAGCATCATGTGTTAGCTTCATTACCGGTAAGGCCATGTACCAAGTACCAAGTACCACATACCATAGAATTCGTGAATGTTGCAGGAACCGCGATTAACATCCACCAAACAATCCCAATCAAGAAGTCCTTCCCTTTCCCTCTTACTAGACTTGAAACGAGGGCACCATCCATGGTAGCAACTTTCAGACTGATCAAAGTTCTAATGACAAGGAAGATACTGTGACTGACAAGCAGTCGCATTTCCTTACTCCTCCACCCAGGTATACATATTCTCAAAAGGCGTATCAGGTTCTTGAAGAACTCCCTATTCAACTCGACCTTTTTTCTTCCGGCTCCTTGCGCGCCATTGCCTAGTGCAACGGGACCTCTTCTTCGTGATTCTGCATGACGAACAGCTGCAGCCTTTTGTTCGGAAATGGCAGAACGAATCCGATTAAGGAGAGCAAAGAATAATGTCAAATAAACCGTCCGAGAAATCTTTGTTCGATGCTTAAGGTACAATGATGTGAGATCCGATATTATACTCTTGATCGTTCGATCGGGTGGCAGGAAATTGAGTTTGGATTGCGCAGCCATTTTGATGAGCTCGAAGTAGACTCCGGATATACTGTTGCAAGCAGCTCAACGAGTCTGCAGATTAAGTCGCTTCATGAGGAGTACGATGAGTTACTGATGAAAGGCCCAGACGATATTTCAAGTATAATGTCGTCGTTGTGCATTTAAAAATGTTGCCATTGTTGTATTGCGTTAATGTTTCTGTTTCCTTGGGTCCTCGGCGCATCTTTCACATGCCAGCCCGCCTCCGGGAATGGAGAAATCTGGGGTAAAGGAACCGAGCTACTGACACGTGACTACATTTACATCGCGTTTGTTCATGAACTATTTTCTCTTCCCTAGATCGTTCTGAGATTTTGAAGATTCGGCTAGAATGTGTTCATTGTTATCAATTTCATCCTAAGCTCATCAAGTGTCTATATAAGTTACATTTTCTGAAGGTTTGCTGCGATATTCTATTTGCGGCTATTCTGACATTGGTGAAGGGGTTCGAATCACGCGGAGATTTATGCTGTCTACTGTCTTTAGGATCCCACCAAAGATTTCGTGGAGACTCAACCCAACTCAACTCAATTCCACTCATTTCAATCGTACTTCAAATTGACAATGTAAAAATTAATTCTTGCTGGGCTCATGGCTTCGCTATCTAATAACGTCGCCACATATCCACGAAGGATGCATTTTCTAGAGTCGCTCCACGTACACAGCCCTCCTCCTATAAGGTACTCACTCTGCCACAATCTGACACCCAACCAGATGGCCGACCGTAACCAGCACAGTGAGTATAAAGGTAGGTATTCTCTGACGTGATATCATTATTCTTTTGGAGTTGGTGTCCCGTCAACGTTACGATCAATTTCCACTTCTTTCGCTAGGATTCGAAACTCGTCCGCTTCATGGGTGTGTTCCTGTCAGCCACACATAAAGGTCACCCGTGGACACTTCCATCTCTTGACAAAATATATATTCTCAAACAGAGCTGCCTCTCGTTATTCTCATTTTCTTTTCCCAAAAATTTCGATATTATTCCCAACTTCCAATTATGGAAGCGATAGGGACAATCAGCAACATTGCTGGCATTTTATCCGCCGGAATACAAGTTTGCGAGGGGCTAATCAATTATTATAATGCCTGGAAAGGTAGTAAAAAGGAGAATGCCGACATGATTAAGTCTATCGAAGGCCTTTTGACGAACTTTGCGCTACTGAAAGCAGTCTTACAAAGTCCGGCTTTCGATAAAGCAATGTCGATAACTGTGGAGTCTAAGATTTTGGACTGTGAAGACAGTATTGCAGAGTTGGGTGATGAATTGAAGAAGGTCATGGTATGCAAACCTTCTGTCGTAAATGTAGATGATTTGGTCGCGAGTAAAAATCATGACAACCAGGGCTTTAGGGACAAGATGACGGAACAGGGAAGAAGAATTTTATATCCATTCAGAAAAAGTACATTGATGAGGTTGCAAGAGAGCGTCGAACACGTGAGGAGTAACTTGGTTTTTGCTATGGATATTATGAATTTGTATGTCTCGAATCCACTAAATGTTTCAAAAATTCTAATCGCCGTCTAGGTCTACGGTATCGACGACTGCAGAGAAAGTCGTCGAAATTTCGAACCAAGTTACAACGATTAGTGACAGTGTAGACGCTATTATCACTCAACAGATGGATAAAGAGAGTTTAAAGGTTCTCAAATGGTTATCAGCAATAGATTGCCATTCCAAGCAACGCGAAATATTAAGCCGAAGACAGGAGGGCACCGGAGAATGGCTTTTCAAAAGCCAAGAATACCAAAATTGGCTAGGTGGAAAGGATAGGTTACTGTGGTGCTCAGGCTCCCCCGGAGCTGGCAAAACAGTCCTTACTTCCGCCATTGTTGATGATTTGGAAACAAGATTTTCAGTATCGAATGTTGGAATAGCATTCATATATTGCAACTACGCAGAGAAAATAAGCATCGCCGAATATCTCGCTAGCATTATACAGCAGCTTATCCGACAACGATATGTAATACCAGATTACATTCTTGAGTTATATCACAAACATAGGTCTATGGGAACCAATATTAATGCCGCCGAAGCTGTTCACTTGCTGCACATATTAACATCCGAGTTTCCTCGTTTGTATATAGTTGTTGATGCCCTAGACGAGTGCGAGGAAACAAAGAAAACAAGGACGAATCTCATTCGGCAATTACAGAATTTGCCCTCAAATGCATATCTCCTCCTTACTTCACGTCGCCTAGGAGATATTGAAGAGAAGCTATCTGATCATCCGCACCTCGAGATTCGAGCTAGTGATGATGATGTTCGTGTGTATTTGGAGGCACGAATAGATATGGAGGAGAACATCTTAAAATTTTGCAAGAAAGACCCGACGATACGAAAAACAATCGTCGGAAAAATTGCCGAAAAAGCTCATGGAATGTCAGTCGAACCGAGACCCCCTGCTTCATGACACATGCTGATCTATCAACTAGGTTCCTTCTCGCCCATATGCACATGGAAGCTATAGCTTCAGAACTGAATATCAGTCGTGTTAGAAAAGCATTGACAGTTCTGCCAGAAATCATTTACAAAACTTATGACGATGCCATGAAAAGAATCATGGAGGGGCAAGAGATGAATCGCAAAATCTTGGCCATGAACATTTTGATGTGGCTCTCTTGTGCAAAAAAGCCTCTGACTGTGAGTGAGCTGCAACATGCTGTGGCTATCATGGAACTCGCCCCTGATGAGAGCGAATTAGATGAAGATGATTTTTACGATCAAGATTTGCTTTTGACAGTCTGTGCTGGTCTCGTGGTGATCGACCCAGAGAGCGGTGTTATCCGTTTGTGTCATTTTACTCTCCAGGAATACTTTGAGCGCCATCGTGCAAAGTTCTTTCCTAATTCTGGTGTGTTGATCACTCAAGCTTGCATCAGATATTTGTCCTTGGACAACTTCATAGAGCCCGAACGTCCAGATCGCGAGACAATCAAGACTCGACTCAAGGAGTATCCCTTATTATCATATGCGAGCCAATATCTCGGTGTACATGCTCAAGGTGCAGCGGAAATAGATCTCATGGATGATATCCTACATTTCCTCAATCAGAAAACACTCGTTAATAGCGCATCTGCTGCTATGATACCTTTCAGCATACGACATACGATCGAATTCCCTCCTCCAATTGTCGCTGCGGCTATGTTCGGTTTGCCAACAATTGTCGGCGAATTGCTTAAGAGAGGAGCAGATATTGAAGCAGTCTGCCCAAAGGACTTCACACCTTTATTGATTGCAGCGGAATTAGGTCACTTCGCTGTAGTTCAACTCCTTATCAATTCCAAAGCAAACCTTCTTGCTAAAGATTATCAACAAGAAAATGCTCTCCACAAAGCTGCGCGAAAGGGACATGTAGAGATTGTAAAGAAACTCGTTTCTGCCCAACCGTCTCTAATCGAAATTCCATATGAAGAGCATTTCAACAAAACAGCACTCCATATCGCAATTGATCGCCGGCACGAAGGAGTTATCAGAGCTTTGATAGAAGCTGGAGCCGACGTCAACGCATCAGATGAATTGAGTTTGACTCCATTAATGAAAGTGGTAGTAGATAATCTTCCAGGTGCCATTGATCTGCTTATTGAAAAGGGAGCACATGTTGAAGCGAAAGGTTTTCGCGAACATGCTGCCTTATCTATGGCAGCAAACGCAGGAAACATTGTGGCCGTTAAAAAGTTGCTAGCAGCAGGAGCTGAAGTTGATGCTGGCAAAGATACTTACTCTGGTACTGCATTGGTTCGTGCCGCCAGTTCGGGCCACAAGAATGATGCCCTTGTTGCCAAGGAACTCATTCTGCATGGTGCGGATGTGAATGCGGTATGTAATGGAGAAACAGTACTCATGCATTCTGCTTTACATCCTTCTGTCATGAAGCTTTTAATAGAGGCCGGTGCTAATATCGAAGCAAAGGATGCTGAGGGCGAAACCGTGTTGCATAAGGCTGCAAAGGTTGGCCGTGATGATAGTGTTCAAGCTCTCATTGAAGCGGGTGCTAATCTCCATTTGAAGACTTTCGAAGGAAACACAGCTTTGTCTTTGGCTAGGCAATTAAGAAATAGAGGTCCGCATCCAGAAGTCATTGCTTTGTTGAAAGGGGCGATGAAAATGAATCCTCTTGGTATTGTTACTTAAGCGATGGATGAAATTGGGAGTAAAGAATTCAACCAACAATAATACCGCAAATTGCAGAGAATGCTCTCTGAAAATCAAGGATAAGAGAACAGATATCTTCCAATTTGGTCTGATCGCGTAACCGCGTAAACTGTTCCAGGCATCGGTTCTTCTCCAACGACCTTCGAAACTCAGCTACAATTGGTATCCGTTGTGATCCCCATTCATCTATCTCAGAACAAGACAGGCCACGATTTCTGAAGTATATAGCAACAGATGGGGACCAAGGGACTTAAGTCTGAAATGAATGGGCGGCTCTAGTTGAGCCAGGGCGTTGTCATCAAAGCAAGATATGTGACAAAACTTCTGAAGAGTCTTTGAACTCTTAAAGTAATTAGATCAAGTGCAAACAACCTTTGGTCGTTGAATTCCAACGATAGAAGGTCTAGCTCAACTGTGAACAGTAGGTCGATTCTTATCTATGCCTCACAAATCTTCCATTGCTACTAGTCTAGTATAGCAATTCTCTTTTTGAACAATCCATCTGTCTCAATCAAAATGTCTCTGTGTATGATTAAAAGAAAACCATCAAATCTTCATGATAACAAGAGCTATATTCTTTATCATCCTACACACACCTTAGAGATATCTTCTCTACAGTAAACAGTAAATATTAAACAAATAAAAGAAAATAAGCTTACCACCATTAGTCAGATTCTCCAAGCCAAAAATTCCATTCCATTTTGTTGCACATCTACATTCGGCCCTTTTAGACTTTGGGCTGATTAAAAATATCCTGGAAAGTAAAAGTGAAAGTGAAAGTGAAGATACTAGGTAATTGAAGGATTCTTTGTTGCGGTTGAAGGATCAACAAGATTGTTTTGTTGCATGTCTATATTCGGGCCTTTTGTCACTTTTGGATACGGGATGGGCTGAAGTTGATATCTGGGGTACAGATTATTTCGTTTTGTTGCAGATCTGTATTCGGGCCTTTTGGGATTGGGAGTTTTGGTAAAGGGTGAAGTGGAGGTGAAGTGGAGGTCTGACTTCTACATAGAGGAAGTTGATGTAATGATGTGGGATAAAACTTTCTGTTCTATGTTTATTAATGTTTGATATTTCAAGACCTCCTCCATAACAAGAGATGGACTTTTCTTTGAAGTGATTGAAATTTTGGGGTGAACTTTGTAGGTGTTTGAGATGTGAGAATTGTTTATTCGTGGTACCTTTCATGTGGTCTTTGATATCTACCAAAAGTTAAGGTTTCCTGTCTTCACGAATTTCTTTCATATCTCCTGAGATATGCAGCGGATATCTACAAGCACCATAGTTTCTGGTTAGAGAAACCCACACAAGTTTGCTCTCTTACCACAATCACACAATCTACAAAATTCCACCTCTATCCCCAGCCAACAAATCCCAAATCCCTTCGATCTTTTGCACCACCTCCTCAGATAGGGGTCCAGCAGATATACTCTGAACATTCTCTCTTATCTGAGAAATTTTGCTAGCACCCAGAATGATCCCATCCCCATCTCCCAAGTTCGAACGATAATAAATCCATCTCAAGCTAGCTTCTCTTCCAGAAATACCCAACGGTGCTAAAGTATTCTCTAGATCCTTCATCGCTTGTTGCAATTTAGGAGCTCCGTAGAAGTTTCGAAATGCTTTTCCGAGTGGATGGTTGTCGCTGAATCGAGTCCCGTCGGATTTTCCCGCGCTGTATTTTCCGGTTAGGAAACCAGCTGCTAGAGCTCTGATGTGATTTTGATTAGTAGTAGGTCAAATAGGGAGAAGATAAGCGACTTACCTGAATGCGAAGAAAGACATCGAATGGGCTCGCAGGATAGGGAGCAATTCTTTCTCCATGCCCCGAGTTATGAGATTGTAGTCTCCTTGATATACAGACGGTTTCACGAAGCCATTTTCCTCGCATACTTGGATGAAATCTTGGAGTAACTTAGGGGGAAAGTTGGAGACTCCGAGCTTTGTATAATCAGTATCCGGAATTGGTGAATTCAAGCATGGTATGAGGAGCTCACTCTCTTAAAAGACCCCTTTTTGAAATGATTGTTGAAAGCTTCTGCTTGCTCTTTCAATGGAGTTGTCGGATCAGGTTGATGACAATATAAGATATCGACCTTGTAGTAAAACAAATTAATACGGTCCAAAAACAGCAATCATAGCAAGACAACACCTGATCAACGCCCAAACGCTTGAAGCTTGTATCAAGCGACTTCCCTATAGCCGAAGCTTCGAGCTCTCCACTTCCATAACCAAGCTTTGTAGCAAGAATTTTCGTACTGATAGAAAAGCCTTGAGATGCAGCTCCTACTTCTCCAAGAAGCTCCTCGGATCTTCCATGATGTGTGGGTGGATATCTCCCTGCGGTATCGATCTGGGAAATTTTCAACTCTTTCAAGACTTCGAGAGCATTTTGGACGGATTCTTTGTTGCTGAAATCCATTCCAATGGATGCAGCACCGAATATGAGCGAGGGGTGGCCCATGATTTTGTGCTGTGGTGGATATCACTAGATGATGTTGGCGAGAAAGTCAAGTGTTTGATCGGAGAGAATGCGAGGAATTAATAGAAGACAAAGTGTAAATAATTAACAATGAATATCGAGAACAAAATGGAATTGTAAAAGTAAGAAATAACCGATAACCTCTTCGTGAAGCATTTATAATATACTGACTCTCGGAGACTTTCTTTGAAAACCGGTAGAACATCAAACCGTCTCAAAGACCAACGATTGGTCAGCCCAACTGTTGGTCCGATTTTCATGTTGAAATCCCCGCCTCCTGTGATATTGCATGGAGCTTGCATTCCAGAATCATTGGTTCATCTGCACATTTGTAATAGAACATGATAATGATAGTGTAGAGTATTCAGTGAGTCAACTGTGACTGTGGGAAGGGGAAGTGAATAATGCAGTGGATCACTCAGTCACTGATTAGTCAGTGCTTACACATATGTAACTCAACAGCAACATCATGAGTTCTCACCATATGCCACAATACCTTTTCTTGTTTGGGACGACTTCGAATGTAATTCTTGGCATTTGCTCTTCTTCACGGAACTTTGAGTTGCACTATTCATGCTTCCCGATTCAAACTAACTCATTGTTTATTGTTATTCTGAAGATGGAGAATCCCGTTTGGATAAGCCAATTTCGAATGTGCATATGCAAATTTTCGAGAGATCCTACAGCCATGGCTTTGACATCTTCTGCCTTCGCTAGACACTAATTACCTATTACACATTATTTGTTCTCCAAAATGGCAACAACTCCTTTCTGTAGTCCCGATCAGATAGACCAGGAAACTCATAAATGCAGCAAGATTTGATTGCGCCATTTGACCTCGAGATAAATCGAAAATCACACGATCCCAGTTGGTTATACACCAAGATAAACATCACTTCTTGATATAGCTCGACAGCCCTCCAGATCCTTATTCAAGACCCTGTATTTTGGTAGTACATGTACCTCGCTACTCAATATCGAATCCTTCGCCGAGTCTTTGCCTGATTTGCAAATCTTCGAAGCTGATACGTTGAACTTTTGGTATTGTAACGTGGGTGAACTCTCCCTGTCTGGCAAGCCAATCCTCTTTGTTGTCAATACCTGCAGCTAGTATTCTCCATTCCAGTTTCAAATCGTCTTCGGGAGTATTGGGGGTATCGTCCATGAATCTCCACCATAGCTTTTTGAGCTTCCAAAAATTTACCAATGACATTGCCCATTCTGGGTGACGGCTCAAAACCAATTCTCCACCAAGAGCCAGAAACTTCACTTTCTTGGCCATTTCGTCGACACAAGTAGTGTCTAAGCTGATGTTATCTCTTTCTTCACTGTATTTGTTATCAAAGAGATCGTTCAAAAGCACATTGTAGTTCATAGTGTATCGATCTCCATCTTTGTATCCCCACTGGCTATTTGAGGCGATCATAATGCTACGGAGATGTCTACCGCTCAATTCTCCTGGCTTTTGCGTGAAGTACTTCCACGCACGATGGCTTTGAAAGTGGAGAGTGTCAATTTTGAAATCGATGCAAATTGTCAATTTGTTGCCCCGTCTGCAAAATTGATAGAATTTCAAAGCTACTTTTCTTGACAATGAACATGTGTGTAATAAAGCTGGAATGGTCTGAATAGCGACAGCCCTTTCGACTTCCAAGATCAAGTGGTGATCTTTCGGATCATGGAGTCCCAGCTTTCCTCTAAAATGTTTATCCTCTCGCTTTTTCTCCCAGGCTTCCTGGGATAATTTTAGATCCATAGCAAGGTCATCCCCGATTTCAGAATCATCCATCTGACTATATTTAACATCGACGGTGATGATCCGAGGACCTGGTAAAGCGTACCTGAAGATCCTTGCCGTAATTTCAAGAGGAAGCTTCGAAAATGAGTCAGGTCTCCGCGCAGCGCCTTGCGCAAGACCTTGTGATAATTGAGTAGACATACTGATTCGTCAAATTTATTTGATGTAAATTAATCTGGGTAATAGTTGTGAGGATATGAGTCGACCTGAAAGTCTGAGAATCCTAGGGTATGATCACAGTGAAGGGTGATCCCTTGACAAACAAAATAATATTAGGGTCTGGTACACGAGATTTCGAGCTCAAGGTTGAAACTTACAATAGTTTGACACGTTGTAGGAATTTGGAAATTATGATACAGTTGTCGTGTAGCTGCTCGAACCTGTATCTGGATTGATATGTCTTGATGTCGCTTAGAGTCTCAGAATGTAAAGAATGTTGCAAGGATTGCAAGGATCTCGAAAACTTTGCCGAATCTTGAGCTGAGATTCTGGGGTATGTTTGGTTAAAGAATATGAATTGCGAGAATAAAATAAATTGTGTGTGGGGGGGCTAAATTTTAGTATACCTCCACCAACCCTCTCTAGCGCTGGTAGAAGCAAATATCGCAGTGACGTAAGCGAGGTAGATTTCTATAATGACACGTATTATATTGATCACGAGGTTCTTTCCAATCATGACTGGAACAAGATAGAAGGTCAAACTGGCATAGACTACTTTCTCATTGGAAAGTAAGATCAAACAGTAAGATGGCCTCGTTTAGTGAGGTTGATAAGTGAGTATGTGTGTTGAGATCCGGAATCTTCTCGACATTCTCTGGAGCGGCTCCATCGCTCTGTCGACCATGGATGAAGGTAAGTTCAGAATTCAATCTTGCCTCAGAGGACATCTTTCTGCAAGACACAGATGAAGCATAATACGTATGTCGAGGTTCGAAAATGTGATCAAGGTCAGTAGAATGTGCGAATGAGGGTTGAAAATCATGATTACTTCCTCTAAAAATGGTCAAAGTCATTACAAGTATACCTCCCATCACGAGTAAAAACTGGAAGTGTACGCCTAGCCTCGAATCTCTGAGTTCTGCATTCGTTTCGACCGAAAACATCACATCACTTCTTTTGTTCGGTTCGAACATCCAATGCCTAAGTATTCTTCTACTACTGTGGGAACTGTGGGCGTCAAACCAGTGGTTGAGTTTTCGATTAAAGATTTGCAAGATTCCTTCAAAACTTCGAGGTCAGATTTTATTTTGTCAATTGGGGACATAAAGTGTTGATTTGGAAGAATCCAACTCTAAGCGAAAGTCATCCATCCATATAACATTTAAAAACATACTACGTAGATATCCGCATCATTTTGCGTTGTAAAGGGCAAAAAAGAAGCTGGAGGACAAAGCAACACAAGTTCTATGTTAACGACCTGTTCCGCTGCTAGTGTGGAGTGTTAGACACATACCAGGCGTGTCTCGGTGAAGAGTGTATGCGGAGATATCACGTATTCTTTCAAGGTCGGTAACTTATCAACAGTAAGTTATGGAACTCATATCGTTGAAGGGTTGACGACTTATTGACAATGCAAAGGACCAAAATCGCTGAGTTGCTGATGTAGAATTCATAAGGGATGAGTGTATTCTTTACGATATGGCGTTCTTGTTGGTCACAAATCTCTTTTGATATTCTTCTTAGAAGAAAAGTCTCTTGGATACATTTTCTTCACTTTTGATTTATACGGTCAATGATAATTTTTTGATCACAAATCCTTGTTGAGCCTTCCCACAGTAGTAGACCAACCCGATACAATATTGATCTCTTCAATAGATCTCACTATCATCAATCAATCCCAATTCTTACCAGCCAAGCTGAATCTGAGGATCCCACTCTCCAAACCTCTCAATGAATTCCTTCTTCGACAAAAATTCTACCTCATGAAACGCCTTCTTTTTCAAGTATCTCATGATATCCTCTTTGAACTTCCAGCGGTCTTCCACCCATTTAGGTCTTCTTGAATGTATCGTATCCGAGACCAAATGACTATCCATTCCCAAAACCAAAGTATCAAGCTGATTGAAGCCCCAGTCCATGTATTCAAGTGCCTTTATTCGTAGTTTTTGCATTCTTTGGGTCTGTTTGACTGCGAATTTTTCGGCATTGATTCTCTCGGATAGTCCAAAAGATTCGGTTCCAACTGCAACGTTTTTGATGTAGTCATCTAGACGTTCTCTCGGATTCATGTCTTGACATTTTACGCAAGGATTTGGACGATGCCAACCCCGATTATTATGTCTGCAAACGACACATCGAAGAAGCAACGGGATATCTTCCTCATCATCAGGAATTATGACACGACGGTTTGCTTTCATCGCAAGTCTGATGGATGTCTCGTTCGTCTGCACAAATGCGAATTGTACACAGAAAGTATTGAAGGTAAACCAATCCGAAAAATGAAGAGTATCCAGGTCCTCGCGAAAATAAACCGGTTTCTCGGTTTCGAGAATAGACATTAGGAAATGACTCTTTGAATAGAGTTCTTGACCAATGTATCGTGCTTCTTTGTTGACGTATAGGGAAGCGGGCATCTTGTACGATGGTGCGGGTTGTGCTGTCCATGGGAATTTAACATTCTTTTGAAAGGAACGAGTGTTTTGTTCGTCGGTGAGCTCCATGCGATGTAACAATTCCATAACTTAATTACAGCGTGAATTCTTTTTGGCATTCTCGCCGGTATATTTTGCAATGATGGTGAGCGTGCGCGGTTCTCCAAAGTCTTCTTCATCTTCTGCGTGATATTTCCATATCATACAGCGAACTTCTGCTGGAAAGTCGCGGAATCGATGGAAAGTTCCAGGCTGAGGAGATAGTTGTGCTATGTTCTGTGCATAGTTTACGTTTGTAGAAGCTATGGCCGCTGTTATTGCAGGTCAGTTGGACATCGTTGCGAAAGAGAGAAAAGGGCGAAATACGTACGTGTGATGGTCAAGCTTTGCAAACAATCTGTTGCAGGAGATGTGTCATACAGACCATTATGCGGTCCACTTGACTCACATACACATTCTGCGCACTCGATATCTGCAGATTTATCCATTCCCATAGAAACATCATTGTCCATCTCAACTGTGCTGGTCGCATTTGCGCCCTCACCAACCCCATCTATACCACTTCCATCGATATCCATATTGTCCATACCTTCCATCGTATCAGTACAAAGACTTGTGTTGGCCATTTCTGTCGAGTATTTGCCCGTTCAATGCAATGTCGGTTGAGCTTGGGGAAAGAATTATTTTGTGTAGTAAAACTTTGGATTTTGTGGGAGAAACCAAGTGACTGATAATTTAAAAGCAAAATAAGATAAGATGCTGTAGTGAATTACTTCTATTATTGTGAATCATGTGATTATCCGAAATATGTTGTCTGATTCGACAAGTATATTAAATGGGGATTCAGTGACGACAGAAAGAAGTAGAGATGTACCAGATAATAAGCAACGTGAAAGTACAGATGCAGAACCACCACACCCTACAGTGTGATAAATGCAGCCCTTTCAACACCTGTTTTCTGGTTGGGCAATGTAAGACTTGTCTTTTGAAACTCATAATTGTGTCGAAAATATGGAAATTTAACTACAACGTTATTCCCAAAGGATAATAACTGGGTGTCAACTGCACACCCTTGTTACTGACCAGCAGTAACACCACAACGGAAAACCACCCCAAATAGATTACCAAACAAGCCGCGCACCATTCTCCTAACCACCAGACCTCCCGATATCATATCCATATGAATATAATCAGTCACCATTACACCTATTTTCATGCGGGTTATAATGCGCCCCTAGACCCCAGCAGAGATGTATAAAGTCTTGCCAGCGGCTTCTCGAAACGAGTGATCCAGATTTTCCATCGGTGAACAAACAATCATCAGCATCGGACGTATTTACAGCGTCAAAAAAACTTCCACACGAACCTCTAGACTGAGGCGTATTGCCATTGCGCCGAATTTTGAGATCTGTAGCATGGACCGTTAGTATTGGCGATGCCAAGATCAATACTGGGCATACGGACCTGATTTTGTAACGTGATGTTGTTCACTCGAGTCTGTGGATGATTCATGTGGGTCGATATATGTTGATTCACCTTTATCTGCATTTTCCCTGCCCAAAGCGGCAAACTTCGGAAGATGTCCCGAGCACTCAAATTCGGCATCCTGTCCATTTAAGCGTCTGATAAGGTCTGCAAATCTCGTGATCAAAACTTCAGCTATATGGTAGGAATTTTTGTGTTCAATGCTGGTGGCTACAGCAGAAACATCTCTAGGATGTGCTCGTCGCCTATCGATTGGGCTTGGCCTCCAATGTGGGTCAGAACTCAGACCACCACCTGTTTCGAAGGACTTTGCTTGTACATTGCTTGACATGATGCCAATACCGATAAGAGCTGGTGTATAGATACCTAGTGTCGGGAGGATGGCTAGAAGGGCGATATTTTGGACTGTTGGAAGAAGAGATAATGATGATGTAATAGAGGATTGCTTGAGGCGAGTAGTTGTAAGGACTTCGACATGAGATTCCATGAAAGTATGTGCAACAGATTGGCCGAGGCCCATGAGGGACAACGAGAGTGGAAGGATGAACTTCATGTTGAAGGGTGCTTGGTAAACTGCTGTGGTCGAGCTTTTATTAATCTGTTATTTGATGATTTGGGTTATCGGAGATGTTTTGACTGAAGATTGAAAGTAAGAAAAAATTGAAGAAAGCGTCCTTGGAATAGCTCAGCAAAGAGATACCCAAAAGATTTCAATACGAATGAAAATGACACCGAATCCCATAATTTCTTTATGATTCTTAATGCCTAATGACTGCTGGTCCGTTGCTTACAGCGATCTGTTTTGAATCATAATTCAAATGGGATTTATGAATCATTACTTTCTTACAGAAAAGATTTCGTAGATGTGGCTGTGTTTCAATACATCAAATATAAAAGTGTCCCGAGTCATAACATGAAGCAAACTCGGAAATATCTGTCCTATCATTCACTGGATTCCATTCGTAGAACGAGAACATCCATGGTTCCGTGTAAAAAGGTCGAATGTCTTTCCAAGCTAGCAAGATCAAAGTCTGAAGCTTCAGGGACTTGATTACTGCCCCTATGTAATTTTCGATGAGGTGTTCACTGCAAGATCCTGGTCAAGGACACGCTTATTTTTGGGCGATTCTCTGGTAATGCTAATGTACATTGAAATACCAAGACCAAGTCAATCTTGAGCAACGATCGTGGGTAATGAGAGGTCGTGTGAGAGAGCTGAGTGGCGCGTAATTTGTCCATGATTTTTTTGAGGTGTATAATCATGGTAATTGAAACGGCAATGTTGCTTCGATTGCGCTTCCTCTTTCTCGAGCGAATCCTTGATAACTCCAAGCTTCAAGTGGTATCAGTGACCATAGCTCCTACTGGTTCTGGTCTTGTTGAAAATAAAATCTTCCATTTCACGATTTCAACGATTTCCAATTCATCCCCAACTTCTGACTCGGACCCTTGCATTAAGACATCACCATTCGTCTGTGATGATATCTCACGATCCCTCTTCCTAATAACAGCGTAAGCCCTTGGAAGCTTTTTGACCTCTCCCGTGAGTCTTTGGTGCTTGCCCACGTAGAGATAGACACGCTTCATCCACTTAGTATTGTCTGAATTTGCTGGGTCATATTCGGGGAAGATCAGGCGACCAATCGGAGTCTGGAAACTTTGTTCTGAAGAATTTGAAATGTTCATGGGGTCATCATCCTCAATGTCCGGTTCTGGAAGATTTATCGTTCCTTGAAGCTCTAGCAGTGCGAGTCCAGATGGGGTTTGAAGAAGCTTCGGTAGTGGATTTTGTATGGTTTCAATTGGTTGATCGACACTCGTGTGAAGGGGAATCATGATTGAGACTTTAGAGATGATATTTTGTGCCCGACAAAAGATTCAATCACAATTCATCATTCGCGCGACGCAAAGTCAACACCACAATTGTTAAATCTCAAGAAATTATCGAGCATGTTTGTAGGGGTCTGGCAGAATGTTTGACCGACCCGATGCTACATATCACATGATCTCGGTTGTTGATCCACATTGAAATTTCGCGCTAAGGATACTAGCGTCTCGCACTGAGAATTTCGAACTTTCCAAAATTTCGAAGTCTTCATTCCTCTCAGCGACAAATCACCGACGACAACCTCGACCACTTGACCACTTACCACCGTCAAGATGAAGTTGGTGTGTATTCCATTATTCCGTTGTGCTGGAATTGATTGATTGAGTATCTGCTAACAAACTTTGATTGATAGAACATTTCATTCGTACGTTTCGAACCCATTTGAATGAACACGATCGAAGAATTCGAACTGACAATATTCAACAGCCTGCCAATGGCAGTCAAAAGCTCATCGATATCGAAGACGAGCGCAAGCTCCGTGTCTTCATGGACAAGAGGTATATTTTTTCGCGACACCGAATACAACGAAAGAATCTAATTTTTGCTCGACAGAATGGGCGCTGAGGTTCCAGGAGACTCCGTCGGAGACGAGTTCAAGGGATACATCTTCAAGATTACCGGTGGTAACGACAAGCAAGGTTTCCCAATGAAGCAAGGTGTTATGCACCCAACCCGTGTCAGACTTCTCCTTTCTGAGGGTCACTCTTGCTACCGCCCACGCCGAACTGGTGAGCGCAAGCGTAAATCCGTCCGTGGATGCATCGTCGCCATGGACTTGTCCGTTCTCGCTTTGAGCATTGTCAAGCAAGGAGAGAGCGACATCCCAGGTGTCACCGACGTTGTCCACCCAAAGAGATTGGGCCCCAAGCGTGCCACCAAGATTAGAAAGTTCTTTGGGCTCACCAAGGAGGATGATGTACGTTTTCCCTACATCATTCCGCCCATCACTCTCAACCGCTTCGTGCTGGTGCTTGAGGATGGAGTGTGAGAAGTAAATCCAAAGCGTAATGCTGATATATCTGGGTTAGGTCCGTAAATTCGTTATCCGTCGTGAGGTTCAACCAAAGGGTGAGGGCAAGAAGGTCTACACCAAGGCACCAAAGATCCAACGTTTGGTCACCCCTCAACGTCTCCAACACAAGCGTCATAGACTCGCACTCAAGCGCCGTAACGCTGAGCGCACCAAGGATGCTGCTGTAAGTCAAGCCGTCCTGCTACTGAAATTATCTATCTAACATATTTTCCAGAACGAGTACGCCGCTATCCTTGCCAAGCGTGTCTCTGAGGCCAAGAACGCCAAGGTTGATGCCCGCAAGCGCAGAGCTTCTTCTATGCGTAAGTAGAGGGTTTTCACGATGGGTAATAAAATGGCAGTCTTTGTGGATGTTTGGCGAGTGGAATGAATTCTCAGCCGGGTTCAACAGGTCAAAAAAGCATTATACCAGGATGCTAGATACCAATTTAAAATGGACTGCATATTACTACTTAGGACGGCGTTTCCGGAATGCAAATGATGTGCTATTAATATGTTTTGATGTTCCCATATATTGTCAAATACAGTGGATGGTTGTTCCTACCGAAGTCTTGCCCTTCAGCTTCTCCTTTTTGACCTTCCCCCCTTTCCTGACTCGCTTTACTTTACACACCCTAGTTCTACTCTATGCCATTCTTTAAACCTTCAATCCTGTTACTATTGCCCACCCTTTCCTTATCGATATTATGCGAAACTCTTACCCGGTTGATACTATTTAAGATGAATGCTAGGCCAGAACCTAGGAAATTGTCGAACTAGATTAGTCTTGAATCCACGCATTTTCCATCCAAAATCTTTTACTAATAAAATAACACAAGGATTATAACAACTCTGAATGGAATATCTATTCGAAAGAGAACGAATGAGTGATCTCATTATGCCTTCATTTCAAAACTCCATAGTAATTTTGGTAAGGTTGCTCGCTTGTGACTTTATTTATAAAAATAATATCGAGTACAATCAAACACGTAAGTAGTACAGATGATCTAGATGTCGTCTCTTTTCTCTTCTCTTATCTCTCAAAGCATAAATGTATCTATCTAGTAGTCACACACACACACACACACATACACACAACAAGAAACCGATATTGATGCATTTACATTTTTTCTGATTCCCGCACACCTATGTATATATGGAAAAGGCCCTATGTAACATATTTAAACGTACCTATGTAAGTGAGTAAGGCCTCTACGACCCACGCAAAGCGGATATTGCATTACAAAAAGAAGAAAGAGAATACCATCTTCTGCAATCCGCACTGCTGTTTTTTCCTTTCCTAGTAAATTTCTATCTACATGCCTACCCACAAACCCCGAGTGAAACCCAAGAAACCATTTTTGATCTATCTTCCAGTGTCTTTGCAACCACATCTTGTAGCTCCTTAATCCATAGGTGCGTGAGTGAACAAAAAGCTCACACTCTCTCCATTATGCGTCCTCCTGATTGCCTCGGCCAACGTCGCACTAATATCCATAACTCTCAATCTTCCACAAGTCTCCTCCTTTCCTCTTAGAGGAACTGTGTTTGTAACAACAACTCTGCTCAATTTACTTTTGTTTAATGTTTCGATTGCTGCTCCACTAAGGATTCCGTGAGTTACGATAGCGACGACTTCCTTGGCGCCGTGTTCCATGACGGTTTCGGCGGCTTTGACGAGGGTGCCGCAGGTATCGGCCATGTCGTCTACGAGAATGGCAATTTTGTCTACGACGTCACCGACAAGGACCATGCGGGATACTTCGTTAGGACGAGCGCGCTCTTTGTGAATAAGGGCAAAACCGAGATCAAGACGGTCGGCGATGGAGGTTGCTCTGATGATTTCGTTAGTTATTTTGGTCCTTGTTTAAAAAAAACTTGCTCCGTCTTGTCCAGATCCTGCACCTCGCAGATATACTAGTTCCCTTTCGTAGAATATGAAAAGAAATGGCTCACCTCTTAGCACCACCGGCATCCGGACTAACAACCACACACTTGCTAACCTCCAAGTTCTCTCTGATCCATCTCAAAGTACTTGGTTCCGCATACAAATTATCGACTGGGACATTAAAGAACCCTTGGATTTGACTTGCATGTAAATCCATTGTAATAACATGATTACAGCCAGCCGTTTGCAACATGTTTGCAATAAGTTTCGCGGAAATGGGAGCGCGAGATTTATCTTTCTTATCTTGACGTGCATAGGGGAAGTTAGGGATGACAGCTGTAATGCGACGTGCGGAGGCGGTTTTGCAAGCATTGATCATGATGAGAAGTTCCATGAGTCCATCATTGATATCGCCAGGTGCGGTGGATTGGAGGATGAAAACTAGAGAGTAAAATTTAGAAATTTGACTTCGAGTATGCGATGGGATGAGGGACCAGGAGAACTAACCATCTTCATCTCTGACACTCTCTCCTACTGTGACGCTGGTCTCTTGATTTGAGTAGTTCAAGCTCATAGTCTTTGCAAGCTCAATGCCCAATCTGCGCAATGGATTTCGTTAGCACCTTCTTTCACATCTCCATCCTTAAGATTGGCACTCTAATAGCTCATATCCCGTCAATATTTCAAAACCCCCCATTCACAGATCCAAGCGCTCGTCATCCCACCATCCCGAAGCAGATACATCTCATCTCATCCCACCAAAACAACCCACTCATCGCCAATAACGCAAGCAAGAAATAAAAACAACCCACCTATCAGCAACCAACTTCGCCAACTGAGGATGGCTGTTACCCGTGAGCAACTTAATTGAATTTGTCGCCATTTTATCTGCTTTTCTTCTCTTTTTCTTTTTATTCCTTCTATATTTCCTTCGTATCGTTCGCTAACTCGCAGTCGCAGATATAGACAAGCCTCCTCTCAGATGCGCAATCGTAGTTGTAGTCGCAAATGCAGTCTCTAGACTAGGTAGCGCACGTTTCCTTTCGCTTCGTCCTATTCGTTGTCCGTTCGTTCGCAGATTCCGTGTAGGGTTTACAGTGTTCCTGTACCTGCACAATAATCTCCAATGCAACTAATTTTCCTCGAGTGTATGTTTGTTCTGGATGGATCAGAATCAATTTTCAACGTCCTATTGGATCCCTCCTTCTAATATGCGCAAGTTCGTCCTGTCGGTCGTATACAGAATTTCAATCAGTTCTGATGATTGAGAATATTCTTGACGTTACTTTATGTTGCGTCGTAGTCAAATGTCTGAAGTATGAAATATGAGAAAAAGGAAGCCGTTGAGTAAGAAATGAATGAACCCTTTGACATTGACATTTGAGAGAAATAATTTTTGCGGGGTTTCGAAAAAGATAACGTCCGTGCCGAATGATCGGCTTTTTCCGTTTTCTAGCCCTGTGGTAACCAACCACGGCCAATCAAAACTCTATCACATCATATTATGAGAGATTGTGTACGAGTGTGGTGGTATGGTAGAGGGGTTTTCGTTATACACTAGGTAATCACGTTATCTTATCTTCACATTTCCAAACCAAACACAGTCAACATCTTTCGAATTCATCAATCTATGATAATTCTGTATGCTAACTAACTAAAAGCTATCTACTTTTTACATCTGCCATTTTTCCCTTTTGGAATTTTTTGTCTCTGATGGGTCATCTATCTAATCCTCCTTCCCTGGGAAATCATCTTTTAAACGACCTGCACTTCGCTTTGAAAGAATCCTTCCCCGAAGATCTCAAACCAAATATAACCATCCATCCTCATCCATCACCTTATCTGTCTACCTGATATCGCATAGTTTCATATCCTCCAACCCATAGAAAAGCAAACCTATCCTCCGTAGAACCATCGCTCTGGTTATTAGAAGACCGCCTTGTCCTCATAAGTATCGTCAAAAAAAAAAGAAAGCTTGACGCCGCCAAATGCTGATCAAAAGCCTGCCATGCATGATATCATAATTAGGAAAAAGATGTTTGACCTTGCAATTGATGTTTATGCAAAACCGAAATATTCACTGCCTGCTGTAATGGCAGTAAGAACTTGAGCGCGAAGGGTCTCATAACTTTCATATTCTGGAAGATCGAGTTCTAGAAGTTGGGTTAGCATATGATTAGATGTATGATTTAGGCAGTGTAACTTACGATTGAAACAAGTATGAGAAGATGGAAGTCTTTCTTTGTTGCCATAGTCTCGGTGGATATTGAATCGACTGAAACCATTCATACCCTCAAGCTCCTTGAAACCGTTAAGGGGTACTTTACTGGTTCCCGTGACGAATTGCAACAACTTGGCTCGCTCTTCTTTGTCAAATGAGCGAATGGCACGCCAGAACCACTGAATTTGTGGAGAAGATGCCGAATAATTGTGGTATTCAGTGTTACTCTTCCAGTCATCAACATCAATTTCAGGTAGTCCAGAGATTAGCAACTCTAATTCCTGCTCATTGAAAATCGAGACCAGTTCAGCAGGGATGATATCATGGAAGCCCTTCAAGAATTCATCAAGCTGTGCTTTGACAGATCCTGTGAGTTTCCATTCGACCATCAATCGAACATACTCGTGCTTGTTCTCCTCCGTCACTGGAACATTGCGCCCATCTTCAATAAAGTCAATGGTCTCGACAACGCCAAATTTGTCGTTATCAACGGAGAAGGTTTCGGTAATGATATCCGTGATATCATTCTCAAGCATCCATATGAGTGACTTATAATAGTCAGGATCCAAAGATTCCATGTCCTTGACTGAAACAGCCTTGCCTAAGATGCGCTTGTAAACTGCTCTACTAAAATGGCAATCGAGAACACGACCTTCATATAGTGCCTTTCCGATGATACGACCGATGAATTTGAAGAACATTAGATGCTCCTCGTTGATACTACTCAATTGATTTGGATGGAAAGTAGTACGGTCAGAAGACACGGGGATGAAAAGAGCATAGCCAGGGTCGAACATTTGCCTAGAGAGAACTTGGAACCATTCACGAGTAACTCCGCCTGCATCTACACCCTCTTCTCCGTGGAAACGAATGCTTAATTTGCCATACTTCATTTGATCAGGAGTCTGGAAGTAGAGAGATTTGAAAGAGTCGTGGAATACCTGCTCTCGACGAACAGACAATTGTAATGGAGGAACTGCACGAGAACCTTGGCTTCGGCTGTGAATGCTGCGGCTGAAGTAGTTGCGCTTATTATCAAACTCGAGAACCTTAGGATTCTTTACCAATAAAGAGAATGTACCAGACATGAGCTTTGGAGTATGTCGGACTAGGTCATTCAGAATCTTTCGATGCTCTTCGGTGAACGTGAAGAACAAGTTCTCCATTCGAGACTCTGGAACGGGACTAGCAAGAACCATTTCCTTATTCTTTGCACTTCGATTAAGTGGTGTGTCCTTCAATGTAGTGTTCTTGCAAACGACCATGAGGGATTCGATCAAAGGTAAAAGAATAGTGGCGACACTAAGCATATGATCTTGTTGCCTAATTGTACTGAGACATGCACTTAACTTCTCCCACATTGGGCCAAAGGTGGAGTTCTCATAGAGGCCAGACACGAGATCTTGCTTTTCGACAATCTCAGAGGAAACCTCTGCTTCACTGGCTGCATCATCCTTCTTTTCACGCTTAGGATCAAACAAATGATCTAGCGCAGTGAGAACACGTAGAAGTTTGTGCTGGTCGGATGCCGGTGGTGAGAACTTGGCTAACGCGACACCCTGAATCTCAGTTCCGGTTCTAGCTTTTTGGATCTGAGGAAGAAGGTCCTCGAGATCTATTAATATGACTTCACCCAATGCTCGAGCCTTGGCGATGAGTTCTTTTCCGAAAATGGCCTTCGCGCCAGGAATGGTGGAAAGATTCTTGATGGTTGATAATGTCTCGCGGAAGGTCTTTGAGTTGCACTCACAGCAGAAGATATTGGTAACCAGGCGAAGATTGTGTTCTGGAACAACAGGAGGAGTGAAAACATGAACCTTCTTCTGTTCTTGCTTAGAAGTATCCTCGGGCTTCAAAGAGTCGGTATCTGGAACGACGGAGGCCTCACCGGCATCAGCGCTTGTAGGAATAACAAGTGCCGGAAGTACTGGAGCAGATGTCGACCCAGCGGAAGTGTTTTCTACAGGAGCAGTCGCATCTGATACCACCGGTGGTTGTTCAGTGGACTCACTCTCACCTACGGTAACGTTGTCAGGATTGGGTGCATCGGTGGAGCCAGTGGCTTCAGCCGTCTCGGCTGTCTCGGCTGCAGTTGCGCTCGCCTTGGCCTTTTCTGCTTCTTCGATAGCTTCTTTTTGCTTTCGTTCTAGCGCAATGAGAGGGCTAGTGATAAGATTAAGTAAGAGCGAAAGTTGTTCCATGATGGTTGCGCTCTCCATGATCAAATCACGATCTAGAAGACTGAGCAAAGAGTTAAGAGCGTATCTTGGGGCTTTGCTATCCTTTCCTTTTCCCTTCCGACTGAGACTTCGCTTGAGTCCACCAGATGGCTCGTGCTCGGTCAAGAAGAACGATGCGACATGCAAATTAGTTTGAGCAAGGTAGACCAAAGCTGTCAAACATTGTTGGACTACCATGAGTGGCGATGCCTCAGAATTTGTCTGAGCGAGCGAGCCGAGACCAGTAAGTGTTCGTCGAAGAGTTTGTGTAGGGGTCTTTGGATCCTTTTCTCTTGGTTGCTTGGCTCTGACGGACAGATAGGAAAAGCTTCGCTCGATTGCGGTCATGTCGGCACTACCATCCTGAAGGATATGAAGAAGGGTGCTAATGAGCTCGGCACGGTTGTGCTTGTTCAATGCTACATTTTGCAGAACTGAGTTGAGTGTGCTTCGGAAACTGCTGTGTTGGAAAATAAACATCAGCCGCAAAAGTGTTGCTACACCTTGTTTGTCCAACATTTGAACGATTGCCCGACGAGCTCTTGGTTGCTGAGGAGCCCCTCGACTTTCTTCACCAGGAGCTGGACGGCGAATGACGCCTACAGGTGCTCTTCCAGGGTGGCCAGCATGATCTGGCTGACCTCTGCGTAATTGACGTGCTTGGGCAGCGAGGTCGGGAGGCAAGGATGCCATGAAATCTTCATCACCTTCCATCAGAACTTCTTGTCTAAGAGCTGGTGGGAAGGTTGCAAGGATGCTTGGAAGATCCATGTCTCCATTTGGTGGAGCTCCGCCTGCTGCTGCTGCAGCCTCTCGTCGTTCGTTACGTTCACGACGTCGGCGTTCTTGTGCTTCCTGCTGCATGATTTCCTCTCGAATATCATCTGGGAGGGCATCAAGGAATTCCTGTTCAATGTCGGTTGGCTGTGAACCTGTCGCAGTTGCTTGTTGACGTCGCTCGGCAACGGCAGCCATGATGACTTCCTCGCGGATATCCTCTGGGAGCTCTGCAAGGAACTCTGCGTCGATGCCCAGGTCTGTGATATCATATGGCGTGTTTCGAATCATAGTCATGACTCTAGGACGATCAACAGCTGGAACCTCCGTTTCTTGTGCTTCTGCATTGGTAGCTCCCGGAATTTCACTCTGGACACCCTCCATGGCATCAGTTGCGTTGGCATTATCCGCCTCGACAGGCTCTTCAATGGATTCATCGGCCTGGGCACTTTGAGCAGCCGCCATCTCAGCTGCAGCTCTTTCAGCTGCCTCTTTCTCTTCAGCCTCTTTCTTCTCTCTGGCTGCCTTCTCCTCTGCCTCCTTGGCTTCCCTAGCCAGCTTTTCTGCTTCTAATCGCTTCTTCTTTTCTTCTTCCAGTACGCGGATTCGTTCCAGTTCGGCTGCTTTGCGAACTTTGTCAGCTTCAATGGCAGGAGGTACGAGCGCTGCCATGAGTTCATTCTTGAGCTCTTGAGCGTTCTCAACATTGCTTGGTCCGAAGAGTAGCTTAGACTCTTCTGACCATCTTGCAGCTGTACATTGAGTAGAGAAAGATGTAGCGCTTCCAGGCTCGCTGGTATCACGGTGATTGTCATTACGAGGACGACGTGTTCCAAACATTGCTTCGAGTTCTCTAGGCAACTGACCAGGACCAGCGGTAATATGAAACTGTAAAGCTTGTCCATTACGAGCGATTGATCCTGGGATACGTAAGGATCTGATCATGTCAAGGATTTGTTCAGGGCTATCACCGAAAGCACGTCCGCCAAGAACGCTACTCATGTCTATCAAGTTGCCGCCGGGTCCCGGTGCTTGAATCCAGCTGCCGATTTGAGGTCCTCGATGGCCAGGTCTGCTTAAAGCGCTTGGGCCATTACGTTGAAGTAGAGGGTTTGTGCCGTCATCCATGGAATATGGGGGTGGAGCACCGGATCTATGTGCTCGGTAACGGAAATCTGGTACTACAATTCTATCAGTCCTATTCTGTCTTTGAAGGCCATCCTCGATTGCCGCTAGGTCCGAGACGGCTTGTCTTTCTGCGAGAAAACTGCTCATAAGTTCTGATTCTAAGAGTTGTAACCTACCACCAAGTGGATCGCGCGAACCTCCAGGAAGGAATGGGAAAGGACTGGGGAATGCATGGCGATGTCGGCCTTGATGTCCACGGTGGCTGATGACCATTGGAGGCTCAACATCTCCTTCCCAACCAAAGATAGGACCAGGGCCGTCCGCTTGATTTATTAGTCGGACCGTAGAACTTGGTCTGATATTAGACTGACCTGGGTATGCGTGCTCAAAGAGCATCTCTTCATCCATATCATCCTCGTCGTCTTCATCTTCTGTAACAAGTTAGTAAATCTTCATAGACAGATCTCTTAAAGCAGACGAATCGATTTCGAAGCTTACCTTCTTCTTCGATTTCTTCCATGTATTCACCTAAAGGTTCTTCCTCATCATCTTCCGGATCACCAACGCCTTCTTCTTCCAGACGTTGAAGCATTTCAACGGCATCTTCTTCATCACCAGCGCCGGCAAGCACACGAACAAGGTTCCCAATGGGGCCCATGTCACCCATGGAATGGGAATGAACGTGTGCAGCTTCGTTGTCTCCTCCTGGTCCTTCGTAGCCTTCTTCGAAATCTTCCTCGTCGTCTTCCTGCATGTCCTCATCGTTTTCGCTTTCCCAGTCATCGATATCTTCGTCTTCGGCAAGCTCTTGGACATTTCCGGCTTCATCGAGAATTTCGATACGAGCATCATCTTCCTCCATACCGTCAGAACCATGCTCGTCATCATCATCGTCATCTTCGCTATCATCGTCATCGTCATCGTCGTCATCATCATCTTCATCTTCGTCTTCCATGATGACTTCGACGTCAACACCATGATCGCCAGAAAGACCTTCGATAGGACCCATGCCATCTTCATCATCATCTTCGTCGCTGACATTTTCCTCATCGTCTTGCTCCATTTCCTCTTCATACTCCATACCATCATCGTATTCACCTTCGTACATGTCCTCGTCATCTATAAGAATTAGCCTTTGTATATTAAGTATGATAGTTGTTTGCACTTACCATCTTCGGAATCAGATGATGTATCGCCCTCTTCCCCTTGCTCAAACATACCCAAAGTCGAGTTTCGGAATAGATCAGGTGTCTCTTCTCGGTCGTCTTCGAGATCTGACACTGAAGTGGCAGACTCAATGTCATCGTCGTCAGCTTGTCCTGGGGGTGAAGATATAAGTGCGTTTTCACTAAGGTAGATAGCATGATGAGTGAGCTGCTTCAGGGGCCGCAGGATATATTTGACAGCTCGCTTTGCGCCAGGGAAGTTGAGATCGATGTCTGCTACCGAGGCAGTCAAAGCTGCAATGTATCCCTTCTCATACATAATACGCTTGAGTTGCATCTGGGATCTCTTGCTGACAGAAGTATCTGCAGTTCCTAAATTCTCCTTTCCAGTCATTATATGCATCATGAGATCGGCAAGTGAGAGCATCCTGGCATATTTAATCTCAAGAGGCTCGGTAGAAGCGCTTGCGTCTTTGTAAGCCTTGAGAATATTCTCTAGGACAAAACGTCGCACGAACAAGAGATCGGGCTCATCTTCTCCATCACTTTGCTCTCGGAGCTTATCAAGGATTTGTTCTCCAGTCTTGTTCAACAGAGCAGTGATAACAGAGTCGGCCCAGTGCGATGTGGTTAGCTTCTTACGAATTGTGGTGGTTTCTGGGTAATCCAGTGTTCCAATGGGCAAAAGATCAGAAAGAAGATAGTGAAGCACACTAGATCGAGGCCTTGAAGGCGTCATCGCCTGAGGAGGAGCGCTACGCTTGAAATTAATGAACTCGATCTTAGTTCTATTGTAAGCAGCCAAAAGTTCTGTGAGGCATTGCAGCAGGAAGCATCTGTAAATGTAGATGGGATGCTCCTCGCCTTTGAATTCCTGTTTTGTGGAATCCTGGGTAGATTGCCCATCTTTGGGTACAGGTGAGTCAGGTACGGATGGTGCACCAACCATGGCGACGTCTCTATGTTCAGGCGAAGTAGACTTGTCGGCATGGCTAGTGGTTGGACGATCTTTGTCTTCCACATCCTTATAATTCAAGAGTTCACATAGTAGGAAGTGAATGACACCATCTGGATTCTCGACTACGGGTGTTTTATACTCTGGAGACACTGCCTTTGCAACATCCGGCATGTCAGTATCAATAACTTCAGTAGATGGTTTAAGATCTTGAAGAGTAAGGTCTTCTGTGGCTTGCACGGTTGGCTGGACAGCATCTTCAGAAGCCTTGGCTGTGGATGGACTTTCACTTGGAGGATCACCCTTGAGTAATAACGATGGTACCCGAGCTGTCTGTTCAGACGATGGGAAAGGCCATCCTGTATATTCGACCATCTCGTTAGTTACTTGAACAAATAGTGCCGGGGCACGATTGGCGAGATGTTGCAATCCTCTCAAGTACAATTGAAGATCAACCGGGGATCGCTGTGGCCGAATATTGTGATCGAAGAATGCCTTGATATCTGATCGCATGATCTGTTTGATAGTCTCGTCGTCCTCAACTATGTGTCTAAGGATGAGCAAAAGAGGGCTGTGAATGCGAGTTGAACTGGCCCCTGCAAGCTGCTTTGCCATGACAAACAATCGCTGGATGTTTTTCTTTTCACCCATGCCTTGCGCAACTGAGCGGGTACGTGTCAGTATGACAAGGATTCGAAGTACAGCAAGTGCGAGGGATTCTTCTTTTCCAATTCGTGGAAGAATATCCAGGATAGACTCTAATAGTTGAGATCTTTCTTCATCGGATACTGCGAGCTCTACATGCTCAAGGACAGGTGCCACAACCTTTTCATTTTCATCTTTTGGTGGTGTCCACTTAGCCTTTCTTGGCTTGGCGTCTTCGCTCAAAAGCATTTCAACAATTAGAAGAATCTGTGCGATCCAAGGTGATGGTTCCTCGGCGGAATGCGAAGGGGATAACTTGACGAAACTGAGTAAAGTAGGGAGATTTTCCTTGAGCTCTCCCAGTGCAGCAGCGTAGAATTGTTTTTCACGCAACATCAACGCCAATAAATGAGCATAAGCAGCAATCTTATTACCCTCAGTGCGGACATCCTCAGCACCTGCGAATGACATTAGAGCAACAACAAGTGTTTCGGCGACAATCTTCCTCAGTCCAGAGTGATCTGGAGATTTATTGACCACGGTAGTAATCAAGTCAGATATTTCAAAGGTAACATCGCCATGAGCATTGATGACATCTAAGCACTTATCAATCAAATTATCTCGAATAAGCTTTCGTTCATCATTCAAGTCATCAACGGTGACTTGCTTGAAGGATGGCTCTTCGACCTTGATAGATTGTGTAGGGTTCGACGCAGAACTTTCACGAGGCGCACTTGATCCGGCGCCGTTCTCGTAGCCAGGGGCGAGTTGGTTCATCATGCAATTAAAGCCCTGAGGAGTGAAAGGATCGTTTGCTGGCTCAGGGGCGCCTGTTTGACCGGATGTTGGAGCTGTAGCTACTGTTTGAAGTGAGTTAATGATCGCTGTTACATCCGTTTGGGTAGGATCAGTGGCAATGGATTGCTCATTTGGGCTTGCTGTTCCAGTGGATCCACTTGAAGGTCTAGAATTACCAACAGGCTCGGGAGCAACCTCGATGTCATCGTCAGGAATTGGACAGCGCCCGCGAGTTCTTTCTCTCTTGTGTTCCTTGCAATAGTCAGTTGAATTGGTAAGATTATTGAAGCAGCGATACAGGGCTTCCTTGGCTAAGTCTTCGTCATAACCTTGTTCTTTGAGTGTGGTCACACTGTCAGAATTGATCTTGAAGGCCTTTCGGAGAGATTTTGGCTGTCGAGCCGATTGGTTTTCGGTAGTTCTCTTGATAGCTCCAGTTTCACCTTCCGTTGAGGCAATAGTACGAATTACTTCAATGAGTTTCTCTGATATTTGGCTTGGGGCCCTTTCAATCAAATCAGATTCCCACAGACCTCGGACAGTAGGAAGAATTGCCATGCGAAGCTCTACCACGAACTGGCCGGGTGTGAAAGAGTCGGACCGAGAACGATCGCGATCTCGTTCACTGCGAGGTATCATAGCCACAGTTTGCGGAACTTCTATAATATGCTTTGAATTGACAAGAATTGCATACAAGGAAAGAATCTGTTTGGCACCAATAGTCGCCAACTCAAACCTCATGGTCTTTTCAGGTGTCTTATTTTCCCCTTGTTGCTCGTTTGAGTTGTTATTGCCAGCACGGATTTCAGAAGTAAAAGCTTCTAGAATACGGTTCAGGGTAGTAAATCCAGAACGCTCCTTGAAAGCTTGCAAGACAATACTGATGGTTTGGATCTGACGATCTGCATGACGTGAGGCTAGATTGCATTATTAGTCATGATCGTGTCTGCGGGAAGAACTAGAAAATGGTACTTACAGTCGACTAACATATCTTTCAATACATGTAACAATCCGATCCAATAAGAGTAGTTGTCGATACTATTATCATCACCTGGACGTGCCAGTTGTTTGAGCACAGACTCAGACAAAGCTTCGGCAATAGTGGTATGGTTTTGTCTGTAGTATGGATCCGGATTCCTCCTACTAAGAAGGACCTTGCCAACGTTCTGGAAAAACGGACCAATAACTCGAGGCATTCTACCAAGGAGGTAGCGCAACGTGCCAAAGTTTCGGAATTGAGCAGAATTGTTCAAAGCTCCGAGGCTCTGAAGTTCTGAAGCGTTCTGAGTTGATTGACTCGCCGGCTTCGCGGGTGTATCCGAAGTAGAATTTGCGTTCGCAAGCTCTGTTTGCAGCGCAACAGGCAAGGCCGTAACGTCAACGGATGGAGATGAAGTGTCAGGTTCGACAGTTGATGTTGAAACGTTTGCAACAGGCGGAGATGGTTCTGTACTAACAACAGTGTCTGGGATCATATCGCTAATTCCATTATCCTTGATTCGTGCTGATGGTATTTGTTGCCAGCTCTTTGGAACAAGTCTCTGTAACAAGATTTCTTCCTTGAGAGATGCGCCTAAGAGTGGGCCAAGGGTTTGAATCAAACGGTTGTAGTGATCAGCGAAATTCATGGAGTTGAAGCCAGATGGAGTGTTCCTGTGACTGTATGGAGATCCCTGTATGGAAGCGGTCAAATTGGCGACCAATGAATGAACGTTGACAAAAGCTTTCGCGAAAGCAGTGCCTTGAGCCAATATCTTTTCGTCGGCATGTTCACGGCTTTGACTGTCCACAAATGGAGCAAAGAAAGATGTGCTGAGATCGTGTTTGGCAAATGGCTCAAGGACATCTGCGGCAGCCTGAGCTCGCTTCAAAAGAGATGGAATCACGAGGTATGGTTTTTGCTCGGCGAGAAGAGCAATAACGTTCTGCAAATTGCGCGAAGAAATTCCGTCTCCAAAATTTGCTGGCAGACTTTGAGATTCAGCGAGATCAAGCACATACTCAATTCCACCTCTAGCACAAAATTCGCTACGAACCGATGAATTGTTTAATACAGTGGCAAGGAAAGAAGCGACAGAGGTAATGTATGGTGTCATGGAGATATCGGGTTCTTTGGTTGATACTGGAGTGGATGCAGTGTCATCGGCATCGCGCATCTCAACATCACTGCCACTATCGACAGCCTTGCCCTTTCCTTTCGCATCTGAGGGGCTGTTTGAAGCGGCGCCTAGTGCAATGACGTTACCGGCCGAATCGTGTTCCCACAATTTAGCGCCAGCTCTATCTTTCTCTGCCTTTGTTTTGCATAAATATCCAACTCGGACAACCATAACAAGAATGGCATTGATGATCTCGCCCTTGAGAGTTGGGTGGTGACGTGCCAATTCATCGAAAGTGGCGCCTAAATTGGATGGCAACTCTCCATTGGACTCCATACATTTGACATGCTCAGGGCTCTCGAATATCTCGAAGAATGAACGCAGAGCATGAGAGGCTCGAAACATCTTCATACCAGTGTTATTCAAACAGAGCGCGCTAAATGCTTGAGGGATGATATTGATGGTCTCTTGGGTTGGCATAATGCCGCGGGCAAGAGGGCCATCGCGGGGAGCTTGAAGCATCGCTAGTGTTGGCGGTTGTGTGGTCGTGAGATCAAAAAGGGGTCCATCATCATCATCGTCATCGTCGTCGTCATAGTCTTCCTCTTCATCATCAGATGATGCGATATCCCCATCAGGTCCTTCGAGAGGGATGCGTGCGGAACTACGCCGCCGCCTCCTAACATCTTTTTCTTCCTTGGGTTCCTTGGGTGATGGTAACACAAGTGGACTACCGGTGACCGCCTCTAGAAATCCCTTGCTCAAACCAGCCTCTGCAATGATTGCAAAGCTCGTAGGCTCATTATTGATAAAACCATTTAGAATGCCAACGGCGTTAGTCCAGACAATGGAACCAAAGCAGCGGCCATTTCCAATGATTTGACGCAAACTACCAAGCAGTTGTGAAGAATCGATAAGGTTGCGCAAGATACGATCAAAGTTACCTCCGTAACTATTCGCAGATGACATCATATGGTGAATGAATTTGAATAGCCATTTCAAGATTTGTTGTTGATAGAAAGGGACTTCATAATCAGTAGATGGTGAACGATGTTCGACTGGCATTACACTGCCGGATTCTGCAATGCCTGAGGCAACTGTGGTCTCGTGAACAATCAGATCAGAAACTCGATCAAGGCCATTTGCATTGACCAATATCTGAAAGGCTTCACGAGCACTGTACACTACATTGTCCAGGAACGACAAAGTTTTCGGCTGATAGCGCTGGGCCACAGTGGTGCGAAGGCCAAGAATTTCGATCATGATAGGTATCAAGCCAGCTGTGACAAGACCCTCTGCAGTGCGGGGGTATTGGCAGAGACTGGTCATGAGTGAGAATAAAGCATTTCGCCACTGATCCTTTTCTGTCAATTTGTCACCGAGATCTTCCACAGCCATCTCTGCCACAGCTTTACGGATGACATACAACATTACACCATGATTTATGGTAGTATTCAGAGCTTTGCAGACATCTTGAAATTTTGATGAGATACCCGCGATAGCCTCGAGCGTCGAAAATGCCAGCGTTTGCATGTATGTAGAGACAGCGATGTCGCCTTCGGCCGGTGGGTGCACCAAATCAGCAACCTGATAGATAAATTGTAAACGCTTTGGCTCGTCGCTGTCTTGTTTCATGATGTTCTCAAGGAAGACTGGTTCGGCGTAGACATTAGCCATATTTGCAACAGCAAGCATTCTAATCACGAGAGCCTGTTGTCGAGTCTCCAATGAAGAGATGAGAGCTTTTGCAATCCGAATCTTTGTAAATAGCTCATATTGCAGATCTTGGGGAAGGTCCAAACTATACTCCTCCATCAAAGAATAGATATCTGTGGATCTGAGCTTTGCTGAAGAAATCTCTATGACTTTAGCATTCTGTCGTTGGGCATCGTCCGCAGGCATTGTTGGAGTGCGTGCCAATACTGGGGATGTTTCTTCGGTTGCCGACGATCTATTCGCGCGTTGAGCGTTCGGGCCAAGGTTAGATGATCTGCGAACAGGTGTTGGAGTGACGGGCGGTTGTCCAGAAGGGATAGGAACAGTCTCGACTGGCTTCAAAGCATTATTGGCCGGCTCGGATTCAGTCTTGACTTTAGGATAATAAGTCATTCTGACATCGCCCCATTCATCCCAGCTTGCTTGCGATTGAGGTGAAGCAGTATTAACTGAACTCCTACGAGGGCTCTTTGTATTTGTACTGACACCCGATCCGCCTTTGTATATGGAAACAAGATCGTTTGCATAGACAACAGTTGTTGAATTCTTGGGGCTTAATGGAAGGTTGAAATAGGCCTTGTCTTTCTCCTTGCCTTTGGCTCCGGGTGTTGTTGGGTGCCCCGAGCCTGGAGAACTAGTGGTAGTCTTGCTGAAAGGCAGTGCCAGCTGAAGAACTCTGTTGAGATCGATATTGTAATGCTCTGCCAATAGATGCTTAGTACTCCTAGCAGATCCGACACGCTTCATAGCAGAGTTGTATCTCTGGGCTAATTGGGATGAAACAAGAAGAGTATTCTCGAGTAATGACAAAGACGTAGTATTGAGCAAGCTCCCCAGATGCGGACTGCTGGAATAAATACTGCGATTGCCACAATTTTCCAGAAGCATCTTTGAGAATTTCAAGATCGCCTCGATCAATTGTCTATCTCCATCTTCTCCATAGCCCAGCTCCAACAGGTCATAGGTCTTCGTATCATCCGCTGCTGCTCCTACATTCGACTTCAGCATCTCACAACCGAAGTCCACCTTTTGAGGGCCATCTGCGAGTTTATATGTTGTGCAAAATCTTTCAAGTATCACATCGAAGCGATTCAAGAGAGAGATCCAATGATAAAGGTCGCCACGGGGAAAAGGCCATCTTGTAGGAAATTGTGCGAGATGTTGTGGGAGGAGGGGCAGAGATATGGAGCATGCGGTTTTTCCGAATTCGCTGACGAAAGGAGACTAAAGATAGAGGGTCAGCTTGACGATGCAGATTGACCAAAGAAAAAAAGGCACTTACTAAGGTTTCAACATGCTTGGGCTGTATTGTCTTGATTATTCTGACCATGATGACGGCAGGCGCGGCAAAACCGCAGGTAAATGAAAACGACCCCCTCCACTACCTCTACAGGTATTATATTTCTTGACAACTCAAAAAAAGAGTGTGGCGATATATGGCAGGACCAACTGTAGGTAGATGGCGTTTGGTGCGTTTGCGCCGTGAGAGTAACTTGACTTTTGAGGCAACTATGTACAGTCGCGCGAAATGTGCGAAATGGGTAAGTTAAACAAGGCTAGTTACCTGCTCGCAGATAAACTTTTCGTACGAAGTGCAAATGAGAAAATAATGTTGAAAGTGTACAAGGTCGGGTTGGTTCTTTATGTAGTGCGAGGTACTTGGTGAAGAAATTGGAGATATCGAAAAAGTGATGGTATTGAAAGGTACGGTGCAGGCGCCTTTCAATACTTTGCCGTATCGATAAATGGAGATTTCCCCGATTTGATGACGCTGGGTGGGAAACACCAGACTGTGAATGAGAGATGTATTAAGTCGTAGTAAAGAAAGTCTCTTCGAGTTGATGAATTCTTGAAGTTTGAGAGAACTTTCAAGAACGAAGGATTTAATTATTATGTGGTGGTGGTGGTGGTGGTGGTGGTGGGGTTGAGGTGACGGGGGGGATTGTGTTATGGATTTTGAGTTTGTTCTGGGTGGAAAGGAAGTTGGAGATGTGATGGGATTAATTTTTGATGAAGCTCTTCCCTCGTTGAAGCTCTCTTGACAACGCCGCTTTTACTCTTTACTAAGCCTTAGTTTTTTCTCAAGGCTGAATGTTCACTACGTATCGTACAATCGCTTAATGAAGAGCAACTACGTCAGTCTTGTTAACATTTTATTAATTAGTAAAATGGATTGATTCGATTTGATTTGATTGATGGGTTGGAATTCTTTTTGCTTGCTTGGATGTTTCGTTTGTCCAATGCCATAATACCTTATTACACTTTACACTAGCATGAAAAGTTCGAACACAGTTAAAAAGATATAAAACAATTGAATCATCAATAAATTCCCTATCAATTCGAATAATCTAATAAGTACCTAGGTAATGACTAATCTACCTATCTATTAATATAATATGAAGTGAATAGGTACTAGGCATCTTGTGATTATGTTTATTTTATTCCCTCTTTTCTTGTCATCTCCTTGTATTATTTTTCAAAAGGCTGCTTCAAAGGGCTTCAAAGGCTTCATATTGGTTGGTAGCCTTGTCTGAAGCCTTGAAACAACTTAATCAGCCTTGTTTGACAAGGCTTCCAAAAGGTCTCACACGTTTGGAACCAAGAACAGAACAGGAACATGTACCAGGTAGCTACAAGGTACCTAGGTAGAAAGGTATGGAGTAGAGATTTGCAAAACTTATTAGACTTTGATGTGCAAGCATTCAATGGATGAACTACCATGTATCTATCTACCTTTTACCTTTGGTGCTGTCGATGCTCTAGTTATTATATCCCCGTGATAATGATATAATGATAAATTCACATAGTCTGCCTCCACGGCAGTGGCCCTCGGAGAGCCAGCGGAGCGTCATTCAATTACTACTGGTGTACAAGGTAGGTAGGCGGGTACTCTGATACTCTCGATACAACAACTGGGATTCCAAAATCAGCATCACTTAGGATCTTTAACAAGGATCAAAGAGCTATCATTGGATGTATTATAACGGTTTTGTTGTTCAGCAAGACATTCTCAGAAGTGTCGTCAGTCCCGTTACTACTGTACGTAACTCTCAGGAAAAAAGAATTTAAAATTTAAATGCACTAGGTAGGAGTATTCACATCTCATATATACCAGACCATACCATACCATTATTCATCTTAACAGTAGCTAGCAATGACGCTCCGCTGGCCCTCTGGGAGCCACTGCCGTGGAGGCTTTACTCGCTTTGCTCGATCGATGATATACCTACCTAGGTAGGTAGGTAGATAGATAGAATTGATAGGTGTATTGCACGAATGAATGAGCGGTCGACTACTCCATATGCATAATCCCGCTCCACTCAACAAATCGGAACAATATAAATTAATCGGAGAGGTTGGATAAAAAGGGATACTAGCTATAGGTAGCGAATCGATCAGGACATTATCCATACCAAAGTGAAGTTCTCTACCAATTCAATTGGATGCTCACAAACGATTGTGTTTAGCCGCCCTAGAAGTTTTCGGACAGAAATATTCTGAAACATATAAAAATATGTTACTATTACCTGGGTAACACTACAACCAAAAAGAGGAAAAGAGGAAAAGTTTCAAGTTTCATAATTCCGATCTAAAGATCCAAAGCTAAATTATCGATTAAGAAACTTCCCCTTTAGAAAAAGATCAAACGGATGAACCTATCAAATCAATTCCTGGTCCTCGTCGAGGCTTTGATGCTACTACCTCGAGACTACTTCGTACCAGTCTACCTAGCAAAATCAAAGATGCTACGGTTAAACTAGAGACCAAATAAGCTAGATTCACCCCTGAAGATGTCGTTATGTGGCTAAAGTTACATGGTTATATCCACCAGATCTTGGGAGAAATGTTGACTGATGGATCAATTGGGTATAGTCGCCTCCATTCTTATCCCCTCCCCCTGTTGGAATATTCATACCGGTAGTCTACTCCGTCTGTACGAGTATGTATGTGTATGTAGGAAGTCAGTTCCGAGTGACTTTTGAGTTCGGAGAGTGAGGCATGAGAAAGAAGATATGTAACTGATGTGTCTTCAAATCCTGCCATCTTCTGAAATGCGTATCATATCATGGATACCAAGGTGCAAGTCGGGAGATACTAGGTAGGTAGTAAGTACTGGGAAGGTATCTACGTAGCTTTGATATCAAATTCATGACTCCACCAATCTACCTACTAGGTACCTAGGTAGATATTCACATAACTCTTATCACAATCCTACATTCCTATATCCCAAAGAGAGTATCGAGAGTATCGAGAATATCGAGAATATCGAAAACGTCCTTCCCCCCCTCTCCCCCATTTGCATTCGACTTCCTTTAAACTCTCTTTCCCCCCTTCCCTCCCACTTAGCGACAAAGGAACATAATTCTCCGAGGCGCGATCGAATCTTGTATCCCCGGGACGTTGCTACTTTACATGAACATATCAAACGAAAGGAACATAGGATTCTCACACAACCACCCAACACTCCTTAACTTTGGAGATGGAAAATTATATGAATCATTAAGATAGACATGACTTATGTGATTCAAGTCAAAATTACTTTTTACCTCTGTTTCTTTTGGACCCCTTGAAATTACATAAAAAAAAAGAACTCCACAATTCATACTGGGTACAACAAATCCACCGGTCCCTCTTCGATATTGTACACGAGCCTCTTCCTAAGTTCCTACTCTGTATGCATTGAGTGATTGATTGCTCTTACACATATTGAGTTCATCTCCCAAAAAATACAAAGCGGCCGCATTTGCTTTCCACACACTCACTACCTCTAACTTCACCTACCTACCTACTACTTAATATACCTTCTTGACATCTTGGATGGCATGGAATAAAGTACCTTCCTATTAAAACCACCTCAACCAGACCAGTCATTGCTACCCACCTCACATTACGAGAATCCTCCTTCCTCGATACACATTCTTCTCTTATATTCATGAAAAGATGGCGGATCACGAACATCAAAAACATATTTCCGATTCCGAAGAAGATTCCATAATGGAAGAGAGAGAAGAAAGAGAAGAGAAAGTAGAGAAGGTAGAGAAAGAGGAGATCGAGGAGAAAGAGGAAAAAGAGGAAAAAGAGGAGAGTGTTGATCAGAGTTCCGATCATGAGAGTGTTCGTTTATCTTCTTTATTTACTTTCAATCCCCTATTTGGCTTGTCCTCCAGAGTTGCACAACAGCTCTACCTGCTCTAGACTGGAACCAACCAATTTACTAACTCGAATCTTTCTGGTAGGACACCTTCGAGGATGCCAATGATGTTGAAGACATTGCCGATACTCTTACCTCCCCAGTTGAAAGGACCAGATCTTTAACGAAACGAAGATCATCATCTATTAAGAGCAATACACAAGATAGCAGTACCGATATCCCATCAGTCCCAACAGTACCACTTTCAGAAACGCATGGCGAAACGAATGACGAACAAATAGAATCCGATAATCCACCACCTAAATCTCCCCTTCTAACATCTCATCGCATGTCCGCTACATCCCTCCATAATGTGAATCTCGAAGACGGTGATGATTTTGGATCGCCTCCACCGCCTCCTCCCCTTTCGAAAGGTAGTTAGGCCCGCCGAATATTTAAACAATGTGGAAGAGCAATACTGATACACAAGATTTTAGTAGCACCAGATGAATCAAGACCTGATCAACCACCCGAATTACCTCCAAAGCCCAATACCGTAACTCCAATGCAGGGCCTCTCTGGAGCTCTTCCAGATGTACCATTCTCACCGCCCCCTCCTCCTCCGCCCCCTCCCGCACCTGCCAACCTTCCTGCGCCAACACCTGTCACCAGAAAATTAACCAGTCCATTCTCGTGGCTGTCGAGAAATACCTCGGCTCCCAAAGAGAACGTCAAGTCACCGCCATTGCCTCCATCTCAAGCAACTGAGCGTAGACATACCGCTTCTTCGATAGCAACCATTAGCAGTAATCCCGAAATGATGTTAAACAAATTGGAGGAGGGTAATGACACAGACGCCGCGAATGGAGTTAGACGACCTGCGAGGAATAGTTTAAGGGACAGATTTAAGCTTGTGAGAATGCGAGAAGAGGCCGGCATAACAGAGCTTCCTGAAGAAAAGGACGAGGCAGGCAATACAGCATTTGGGGGTCTCATCAGGCAAGGTACAAGTCTTGGTTTAGGATTTACCGCCTCACACGACGACAAAGACCCTTCTCCCGTATCTCCCGGTCCGCCTACGAGTCCTAATCCAGTCAGTGTCAACCCCGCACTAGCCCCCGGTACGGCATCTGGAGTTTCTGCAGGCCCTTCTGCAATGGGTGATCCAGAAGCACCGGTCGATTGGGATTTATGGCAAA